CACACTGCGCATTGTAGTTTCACTGAATTTGGTTCAAAGCTCCGTCACGGCTTGCGTTGGACACCATGTGCTAACCAACTGACTAAGCTCGTAATTTATTTCAGTTTCACGTATTACGAACATGTCATATCTTCGAACATCCGAACGAGCTCAGAGGTATGAAGCACAAACTGACAAATAGACTTGGTCGTGTGGTGACAGAGGTCATGCACACTCTTCTAATTGTAAGAAGGTCAACTTCCAAAATACACTCATTTGCAAAGAGATTTGGTTTTTCGAGAGACTCACCTGTCGCCAAGCTGGATATCTCGTTTATGGTTGAGGTAAACTCGGGGAATGCGCCTACTTGATGAGCCCCAAGAAAGGCAAAACCAGTCGTGGGTTGTCGAAGAATTTTCAGCAACCTTATGAGTAGTGTATTGAGGTCAACTTCCGTTTGCTGTAAAGTCACCCGGCAATGATGCTTCGTATCAGGAATCTCTCGATTTGGTGTCTTCTGGAATAATTCGTGCAGTCAACAGAGCGGTAGTATTAGCTGTTGGCCTACACTGAGGAACGTTTGTCAGCACAGCCAAACTCAACGACCGGGGGCCGTAATCACTCTCGGATTTCTGTGAGTAAATGAGTCTTGGCGCCTACCACCACTAGTAATATATAGTTTAGTTATTACAACCGAAGAAGTGGCCACATGGGAAAATTCATCTCCAGCCCTGGAGAGCAATGCGTCAGAAAATGCCCATCAAATATATCAACCCCTGGGGAGCGAGTACTTTGTTCATTTTGAGGTACTTCTATCTCTGAGGTTTCGTTCACCAGCGTGACAATCTACGTCAAGAAGTAGTATCAGCTTTTCACACGTAAACAGACGCAAACTACCTTTAATCGGATTCAGGGGCGTATTATCACCAATATAATCGTTGATTTTTCTCACTGTTCGACGGCCCATGACCGGTTTCGCCCTTCTGCTTTGGGCTCATCAGGTAGGCGCAGTCCCCGATTTTCCATCAACGTTATGTTCTACTTGAACCCAAAATGGACTGTTTTCGAGAAATACACTCATTTGCAAATCAATTTGGTTCTCACGAGAGACTCAACTGAATCTCTCGTTTATGATGTTCTACAACTGAATGTGCTGCACACAGGCAGCCTCATGATTCAGTTTGTACGATATTCGAGGTATCGCAGTATATTTTCATGTTTTTTTAATTTACGAGCAACAGCTCTACTAGAATGTTTTCAGAACACATTTAGATGTGCTTGTAAATTTCGTTCAAAATGCATCGAATGACTTGGATATTGTGATCAAATCGATTTTTCATAGCTGACTTTCGCTCTAGTTCGTGAAATACTGTCACAAACACAAGACAGGGAACTCGTTATCACCAGAAAAAGGGAAACGGCTTCGTTGTGAAAGTGAACCGTACTTCGGGTGTCTCCAACTGGCAGAAACATCTGAGTTTCGTTCCATCTGAGTATCACAGTAGCCTGTCTTCCGGAACTATTTCGTCGTTTCAACAGACTTTAATGCGCTTCAGGTTTGCTATCGATGAATATCTATCATCAAGTAACATCCACTACCGCGCACAACGATGATTCAAAAACACTATGATAGAGTAAATACAACTTGTAAAGTGTTAGACAGAGCGTAAGCTTTCCACAAGAAGTTGGGCGCTGAAGCAGTACCCCATATGATGATAACAGCGCCATGGCAGACGGACAGTATCACCTAAGCAAACAAATTTGGTTTTGCGAAAGACTCAACTGGAAACCAGCTGAATCTTTTGTTTACGCTGTTTTTCTAACTATGATTCAGCTGGGTCTGTCTGGTCAACATCTAGCGGAGCTGAGGGCCTAGGTAGATTTCGGGCACTCAGTGGTTGCTTTCGGGACGCTAACCTTCCTGACACAGGAAGACTAATCGAAAAATTTCTTCACTGTACACGTACGATTTCTGCTGCACTTTCATTTTTAGGGGTCCACTTGACTTACAGAAATCTGTGTAGCTGAAATATCCGTCACCATCCCACTTTCATGGACATGCATACGAACGTCGCATGTGATGCCGAAGGTATTACGGTTACATGGGCCCTCGCGAGTGCTCGAGTTCGTTCGTTCATTTCATGGTGATCAAGCCGCGATTATGGGGTTGGTTTGGAAGTATGACAATTGCGTAACGCGCAGAACTGACGAGAATTACGGAATGTCGTTTTAAAAAGATTCCCGGTCACGAATTCCTTCTGTCAAAAAAAGAATATTCTATTTCAAAAAGTAAAAAACTACTCAGTTCATGATCGGTTATCCTACTGGAAATCGAAATAACCTTTTCTTACTCACTCGGGATCTGACGTTTGCCTGACGGAGCTCACTACTCTCAAGGTTGCTGAAAATCTCTTTCATCGATTCTTCCTCTTCTAGGGTTTCACCAGGCAGGTGTGCCGTCAGAGTCATGAGGCTGCCCTTGTGTAGCACATTCAAATGGAGAGCACCGTAAACGAGAGATTCAACTGGGCTTCTTGTTACACCGTGACATAAGGTTGTCGGAAACTCGATGACTGTGCCTACCTAGTGAAACTCAACAACGATAAACTGGTCTTGCGCTCTCGCACCGTTTTCAGCAACCTCATAAGTAATAAGCCTGGTCAAAATGTATTCTGTGATGTCCTGAATATCGTACCAACTGAAACTTAAGGCCCCTTCAATCACCATAGTTAGTTGAAGAAGAAGGATAAATTCGGTTGGGACTTAGCTGAGTTTTCTGTTAAAATCAAACTAATTTGCAAATATGTGTAGATGATTCATTTGGCGTTTGATAAACCAGGAACGTGACGCTAGCACAGGGAGTTCATCTACCTGGTGCAGTCCAAGAATAGCGAAATCGGTGGTTGATTGTCAGGTGGCTGCTATCACCCTTGTAAGTAGTATGTTACGTATACAATGAGGAATTTATCACCACAGAAAGGCTTTAACTCAAGTAA